TTTTGCCTTAAAAAAAATAATCCTGCTTTACAAGGAAGCATTGGATGGTATTTCTTATTAAGGTTGGAAGCCATTTTGTAAAACTTCTAAAAGTTCATATACCACATTAATCTCTATGGGCAAAAAGATTTCTAAAAAATCCAAACATCCAAACGTTTACTTAACCAACATGACAAGCAGAGGGCACAAAATAACAATGAATGTCATTGTTTCATTTACTGTATTTTAGGATATTTTTTCCAATACTGATTTTATGATTTCTTTCATTCTATCTGGATTGTGCTTCAGTCACTGAATTACATGTGAAGTTAAATATAAAATGCACAGTACTCACAAGATTACTTCAGAAATTTTACTTAGACAAATAGTTCTTCCTATAATTTAATCTCTCTCAAAATTTCTGAGAAATATAACTTGAAGCAATTAGCCTATACATAACACAAATAATTCAAATTGCAACAGGAAAAACATCAGATTTTCCTCAAATGAAAACAAACAAAAAACAACAAAAAATACCCCAAAGAACTAGAACAGAACCGTTCCAAGCTCTCTGAATCCCATCAGAAAGTGGAAGAAGTTACCTAATTTGCCCTAATTCTTATTAACTACAAAATTAATTTGAAGAACAGCATGCTTAAGTCCCCATATTAAAGATTCTTGAAGTCAATCAGCATTCCTTATCTGGTATCATCTAGATCACTAAGACTCCTAGGAAAGTTTATAAACCTTATTCTCATATGTTGAGAGCATGCGATTAGTCTTTATCATGGAAATACTACCACTGAAGACACAGGGAGATTATTAAAATAGATACCTATATACTGAATGATTATTTCTAAATATGTTACTGTCTCTTTTGTAACATATTTTTGTAGTGAGATAATACTTGTTGTGAAACACTTCAATAGATTTATCCATGCTTTTTTATTTCTGGGAGCAGCCACCCAAAATTTTGGCTGTGCAACAACCACAAAGTCCAGCATCAGTACTGAAACTGAGAACTCATTTCACCCATTAACTACAGCAGCTAAGTTCTGAAGACAGAACGGAAAGGAAGAAATTACCATGGAAGAATATCTGCAACAATGAGGAACAGCAAAATTTATTTTCTATGAGGGAATTAATGCCTAAACAAAGAACAATCTTGTATTCCATTCATTCATCTCAAGCCCCAACTCTGTTTGTTCCAGACCTTCAAGTCCTAGGGATTTTGACTGAATAATGAGAGGACTTAACTTACCTCTCTTTCATCTAAGCCTGCACAAACAATGTATATTATCTCAGAAAAATTATAATCTGAATGAACATAAAAAATTCCACAGTTATTATAATTTTACCTGCCAGATGTACAGGAAGGTTTCTTTCTTCAGTAAATGTAAGAGCATGTCTATGTCAAAAATCATTATCTGTCCTTAAAAAATAAATATTAAGTATGGGAGTCACACTGTATTAAAAAGCTCTTTGTTGCTGCAATTAAAAAGCACATTACTTTTAGTGACTACTGAGTTAGAAGACCACTGCTCAAGGATGCAGCATTATTTCTTTCCTTCTTTCAGAACCCTGGTAAAATGAAATAGTGCCACAAGTAAAGGTTACTTTGATTAAAATGTTTCATACATCCAATATACTCAGCATCAATTCTTATTTTTCAGGTAATGACCAATGGATGATACCATAATTCATAATCCCTCTGTCCCGAGATCCAAAGTATTAATTTCTTCCAAGTATAATGTTAGGGGCTGTTCATAATCTTGTAGGTTTTGAACCCACAAAGTGCAAAGCAAAAACAACTGATGCAAATAACTTTTTAAAACAGAAAATACACTGAAAATCAACTTACATCCTTTATAATAGATATACACAGACATATGACCCAAATATATTACAAAGAAGCTATGAACAGAAACAATTTTTCAAAATACTAATTACAAAAAACTTAATTGTTGAAAAACATTATAGAAGAAGATGAAGAATAGCTTGAAGAAAGCAACTGCTCAGTAAGAAAGTTCTAGATTTCTACAAAATTATCACAGCAGTGGAAACTTACAAAATAAAGGAAAGCTTTCACAGAATGGAGTAGATAAGGCAAGAAACTTGGAAGAGGACAACAATTTACTGAATCCCAGAAGTGGAACAAGTTATCTTGCATTAGTTTTTAGAGTCTGGATGCTGCAAAAACTGCTGTCCTGAATATAGGTCTAAGCTATCAATCCGTGCGATACAGAACACAGCCCAACATTCAATAGAAAACAACCCAACACTCAAGACATCTCACACTACTTCACCACTATATGGTTGTTTCAAACATCAATGCTTTGGGCAACATCGTAATTACATTGAAAAGGGACAAAGTGGGGACATTTTTCTACGTACTTCAAAAAATAGAGACATGGTAAAACCCTGAAGATAATTCAGATAACTAAGAAACTCTAGTGCTTATACACTTTTCTGGAGAAAGCCCAAATATGCAAAGCAACAAACATGGGCAAACTGGCAATAAGAGCTCCTTATACAGTATTATGGATAATAAATTAAATTATTCATTAGATTTCAGAATTTACATGTCTTACAAAGCAAAAATACTGCTATTAGGTGAGGACTGTCTGGTTAGATACATTTTGACATCACATAAATACTCTAATATATTTCAAAACATGTAATGAATAAAGATGGTCTAAAATAGGATATTAGGCAAGTGGAACGTAAATATAAATTTATTTCATAAATATGAAATCAATCATCTCAGTTTGTGACAATAAAATTAACTGGTTTATAGTCATGAACAGTCAATATCACTTTTTGAATCCTAGATTGTTACGCTGAGTACCTAGCACTGCAAAGGAATATTTAATTTCTTAAAAGTCATGTTAACATGATGCTTTTATAAACATCAAATGCATTTAATTTCATCATGTTTTTTTTTTTTTTTTCAAATATGGTTTAAATTATCATTATTTACTAAACAAGTACCTTCAATATAAGCATTCTTTACCATGTGAAAGCAAAGCACATTAAGCAATTTTCAACTGAATACAACTTTCCTGTACAGTTATGCAGAAACCATTTGACAGAAAAACAGATCTATGCTACTTTCACCAGTGTTTTGAGATTATGTTCATTTAAGGATGCATTTTTACAAGCCTCTTTCAGAATTCCTCTCCTGCCTTCAACAAAGAGCAAACTGAGATATATTAACATATCCGGAAAAAAAAATCCTAAAGAGAAATCACTAGCAATTAAAATTTACATAGTAAAAGTACAAAACTATAAATAAATGTAAAAAATTAAAAATAGAAAGCTTTCAAAGTTACTTTCAACCCAGAATAAAGTTTAATATCTTTTCTTTAAAATTAAAAATACAAAGAGTTACATCTTCTGCAGATTATGACTATAACATATTATTGATAATTATGCAGTTATTCATCAGAATAGACTTCTACTGAAACTCTGCACTGGAGTTTCATAGACAGATTTGGCTATAGATAGATAAGAGCATGTTTAGCCAAAGACTAACATAAAAGCAATGTATTGTTAATATTTGTGCCTTTAAAATATCATGCAGTAGAATTAATATTTCTGTACAGGAAAGAGATAGATATTTGGTTCCAGACAACTTGATAACATCTCTTTCAGCTATAGTTATAATTACCATGTATTAACTTCCAAAGCAGAAGTTGTCATGATCTAACATTAGCATTAATTTATGTCAAGCATCCATTTCTCCAAAGACAGCAAGGATCGAAAAGGAAGTATGATCTTAATTGCCATTAATCTGACCATTTTTAATTAAATTGATCTGTAATTTATTATCTTACACAGAGGCAGAAAGCCGCTACCATGCAGCTTTACAAGACAGCACGTGTAGTCCCTATAATTTCTAATACTATCATGATTCAAAAATTGTATAAAAGTGCTGTGCCATATTTCTTTCAATTCCTATAGAACATTCTATTTAAAACCTCCATAAGCACTCTAGAGCACAACACAGCCTACATGTACTATTCTCCTCTGGAGTAGTCTTATACTCAACACAGGTACATGATCTCAGTTTTCCCTGCTGAAGATGTTTAGTTAAACGTAACATACAATTTCAGCACTGGCTCAGGAAGCACTCTGCACTCAAGCCACATTCTTAGTCTAATCTGCAATTTAATTTTTTTATACAAGAATAAACCTAAAGCTTTCAGGTTTAAATCTCAATTCAGTGGAAAAAAATGAAGGAGGAAATGCTCAGTATCTGAACTGAAGACAAGAAATATCTTCAGTTGAAGTTTCATAAAGCAGTCTACCAGCTTTATCCATAAAAGTAAATACATATTTATTTTTTATTTATAATTATTTATTAAATTATTTATTATATATAATTCATATTAAACAATATTTATATTAAACAATTTATATTAAACAATAAACATGTTTTCCTATACACTGTATTGCTTTAGTGCCATGTACTGCAGTCACAACTATCATGATATAAATTGGCATATAGCTGCAGGGCTACCAGAAGCAAAATCAGTAGAACCATAATTGTAAAACATTCCTTAATACTTCGTGGACTATCTGCAACATACAGACAAACAAATCCTAGTTTATACAGCATACACACAACCAAATGGAAATGTTTAGATGCTTTTTTTCCATACACTGATAAATGCACAACCTCCCTCAATTCTCTCATTCAAGTAATCAAACGACACATTTCAAATATGAAACTATATAAATATTTGGATTTAGCCTGAAATGTGGATTAATAAGTTTGACTTATATTGGAAGGAAGGGGAATAAGGTGAATAAAGTTACACTATATATTTACAGTGCAAGGAAGAACAAAAGAATGGACATTAAACTTTTAAATGTGTGAGTGTCAAAAACTTTTCTCAAAGCTTTCCTTAGTGGATCATTTACCTAAATTCATAACTGAGTCAAATTTTTTAAACAATCAAAGCATACGGAAGCAATACAATTGTCCTCAAGTATTTCATTCTTTTCATTCATCATACCTTAACAAGTTTCAAGAGGTGGTAAAGGTCTTCAACCTCATCTTCCTGACACGTTGTATACACTCTTCCAGTATTTATGCTGGTACCCTTTATGAAGCAACGATAGAGTGGCAAATCCATTGCATCAGCATATAGATCAATGGCATGGTGTCCTACTGTCTGATACATATAGCTGTCCAATTCATCACTCTGCCCTGTCACAGTTAAGAAATAATCTCATTAGCTATATAATTTCAACAGTTAAAGATAATCATAATACTTCAAAACACTGAAAAAATCTAAATGTTAATATTGTTTCGTGCACAAACAGATGTTTAGAGACATTAACTCTATAAACATGGGGGAAAAAAAAAGGTTTTCTCCACCCAGACATACGTCAAGAATATGCTGCCTTTTTGAAAACTGCCGTGGAGTCTGCTGTGGAGTCTGCTTCTCCTTCAGTATTCTTCCCTGCTTCATCCAAGTATCCAAGACTGGTCCAATTCTTCTCTTATTCATAGGGTAATTCAAATAGGAGTTTGTGCTCAGAGGCACAAACCCAGGTGTATTTCAGCATATTCAGTGCAAGAAATATGGAATGCATTACAACACTGTAAATAAGCAGTGACTTGTCACAATTTTCAAAACTTTCAGCGTTTATATTATTTCCATGGCCATTGAGAGACAAGAGCAGATTATCTGAACCAATGTGGAATAAAAGTAGATTGCTACAGTGTTTTGACATTAACATTCAAAAAGAGAAAACACCTTACAGTACCAAGTTCTTTCTACCTTCAGTCATTTTAATAATCACTTAGAATGTGATCAAATCTTTGCTGCTATTTCCTTAATCAGGAGAAAAAAAAAAGGTAACTGAAATTTCTTACAAGCAGTTTGTAGCTAACAAATGAAGAAAAAAAGCAGCTAAAATGCAGCAATCATAGATTACAAATACATCTCAAACTGTTTCTACATAAAATCATTCAAATAATTGCTCAAATAAGTTGAAAATATTGCTGAAATTTCAATCTCATTTGTTAAAAGCTATCTGAGTTCACTATTTTAATGCTAATCTATCACACTGGAACTTCTCTTAATTTACACATAAACACTTAAAGGAGCTCTGCAGTACATCTAGCATATCTTGAGAACAGTCTGTAATACTGATCAAGGTAATTAATTTGTGATGTAACAATTAAATCATGTCACATTTGATGCCATACAACAGTCACAAAGATATGTACTTGCACAGAATGGGCAAGTCCAAACACATAATCACAACTAACCAACCTAAGCCAAAATAGATGATTTAAAAGAGAAGTCAGTATTTTCCAACATAAATAAAACATGACAAGGTCTTTAAACTGATATTCAGTTCAGAATACATAGTTTTTCTTATTAATTGAGACTCTCCAGGCAGCACTGGTGCAGATAAAATAAAATGAATGGCATAGAATCTGCCATTGCCTGAAGCACCTCAATTAACTTTCCACAAAATATCCAACTACACACTTAAAGACACCATTTTATGATTTTAATGACAATATTCTACATTTCTTATGGGGATAAATTAGTTTAAAGACAACTTATTTCAATAAGATTATAGATGATTGTGTGCTAGCTATGAAGAAAATAAATTGTTCCTGTACTCCCAAGCATTTGCTAGGTCTGTCCATGATTTATCTGTGATGTCAGCTCCCATTTTCTCTCACTTTCTCTGGATAGCTTCCTGAAATGTAGTTACCAGGTTAATTGTTGATAGACATTATACTTTAACATATTTAATATACTCTCCTGCCAGCTGGATAACAACACACATCATTTTATGCTCTAGACAAACACAGAAGTAGCAGATACTCCCCTGCTCAGCTCACTCCTGACTCAGACTACCTGAGATTCTCCCATAATCTTCTGTAGGAATAAGTCTAGGCCTAGCCTGTGAGGAACTGATCAGAAAACTGGACAAAGCTAAAAGAAAGAAAGAAGCATATCAAGATAAACTGCAATTCAGATCAGTTCTACAAATGTTGGGCTAGAATAATGGAGAAAGGTACATTAAGTTAAAAACAAACAAGCAACTTCAAAACTGCTTACTTTGGCAAAATGGTTTATGCTAGTTTAACGCATTTCTAGAAATACAGTATTCATTTTGTTTGATCATTTCCTCTTACATCTTTTACTGTTTGTGCTACTTAACTCATACAACCTCTTCCCATACCACCGGAAATATTTGTGCTTTTTTTTCTAAATTGTTTAAGGCTTTCTTTTACCAACCTCCACCTTGTGTTTTTTGTTGTTTTTTTTCTCTCTCTTCAAGGAAAAATAAATTAAATTGAATAGGTATCCATGTCATTTTCTTCCTTCTACCTGAGATTTCTAGATTGCCCTTCAATATGTAAATACTGAAGGCAAAGCTGTCAGTCTACTATTTCTAATTAATACAAACAAGCAAAAAACTCCTATGTGGTATTTCTACATACCTGTGGTTTCAGCAGGTCTTAAGTTGGCTAGAGCAACAATCTGATGCCCAGCAGCAACACACTGCATCATATTATAACAGCTGTCCTTCCCACCACTGTAAAACAGAAAATAGTGACAATTAAGTGAAAATACTGCAAAAAACTCTAGCTCTCTCCGGGACTACTTTAGCCCTCCTGTCTCGCTCTCAACATTATCAGAGCAGGTTACTAAGTATTTGAATAAGAGGAGGTTGCAAAATGCTAGTAGGAACTGAAGGATGATTTCGCCATAGCAAAGCTGAAACAATGTTTCCTATTTATACACAGTAGCCAAAAAAACAGGTATCCAGCTCTAATCTTTTATCTCATTTCTCATCAGAGAGCTTACATGAAGAACAGCCATTTCAACTGGAATCCCTTCAGAACAAGAACCATCTTTTACTCCAGGGATCAATTATTCTGTACCCATTATTAAGTAACATGGAAACAAACAAACAAAACTCCCAGTATCCAGAGATACAACTCCAGAGATACAGCAAAACTCCAGAGAACAACCAGATTTAGCTGTCCTTTTAGATGAAAACTACGGCAATAACTTTCATGCTTAATGGGATATGTTGTCCAAAGTTTCAATACTTTAAATGTACTTCCCATTGTCAGAAGTTCTAATTGTTGCAGGCAGTAGGTGCAGTTTGCTCTGCACGAAACATGCCACTTTTTACTACAGATAATTGCAGATAACAAAAATTACAGCTAATTAAATAAAAGCTGGAATAACAAGTGGAAAAACATTCCCCTCTGAGGCCAAGAGACGGTAATGCAAAAACATGGAACATGATTAGTTTTGACTTAAAACCTAATGAAACTTTTTTCACTACCAGTGAGAAAAGAACCCTAGATTTTAATCCCTGTCAAAAGAAGCACTACAATCTAACAACAAAACTAAAACTGGTGCAGATACAAAGACTTCAACATCCCATGCTCAGATTCACATCCTTCAAACTACAACTGCAAACACCAACCCAGGACAGAAGTCACAATACCTCTGTGAAACTGCTTCCTGCCTCGTGGTCCCTGGGACCAGAACAGAAGAGCAGACAGCAGTTTGAAGCATTCCTTGCTGCAACTGGCCACCACCATTTCCCTGCTGTTAGGAGCAAAATCCTTCAGCATCTCTAACAGGAAGCTCCCGCTTTTATCTCTCTCTCATGCAAGAGCTTGAAATGTATTACAGTAATACAATCATACAGCTATTCCCCTCAATTCAGGCTTCTATCCATGGTAAAAATCTGCATGCTGACCCTAACTTTCTGTGTAACTCAAACCTCAAGAAGAAGTTGTATAAACAATATGGAATCCTTTTGTACTTTACAGACTGTCATAAAGCAGGTGCTTATGTTTCAGTGTTATAAATATGATAAACATATTTCTAATTTTAGGGTCCATCTGTACCTAACAATATTCTCAACCATTCCTACAACATTCTTCTGATCTATATATGGATAAAAGAACATTAAAAGACGTATTCATTAATTCTGAATACTGTGCTTGATAGCTTGAAAATGTAGTTAGCATTCACTTCATAAAGTGAAATTTCAGGCTAAACAGTCTCATAATAAGACAAAGGCTCTTTTATTTCTGAATGATTCCATTCTAAAAAGTAAAAGCCTACTACTGGCACTGATTTCTACTCCAAAATACAACTTAAGCCAAGTAATGACAGTCGATATTTTTGCCTTTGCCATTCACAGAGTTTCAATATTAACATTTCTAATTAAAATTAAGAAGGATGCCAGAATAAATTTATTAATCTTTTAATACAATTCATTTTAATATTTCATTAACATGAATTGTATTAAATGTTATCATTTTAAGATGAGGCTACATTCAGATTTCCCACATTTATTGAAGATTTGTAGAGTGCTTGCTGTATCACACGGTATTATACTCCTATTTATTTTCTGTATTACGGTTATCATGGCCCTAAAAAATAACTATGCCAAAGAAACAGAAGGAAATGTTACCTACATAAAAGGCCTTCTAGTCTAGCAGTAAAACACAAGACAGCTAGGTCCAATGAGGCCAATACTGGAAGAGGAAGGTGGACTCAGCACAGTTCCAGCCCAGCTTGTGACAGGAAAAAAAAAAAAAAAAAAAAAAAAAAAATATCCAAGAGAGATTAAAGCACATAGTTTTTGAAGGACACTGAATGATGCTGGCCACACCCAGGCTTAGGTTAAACAGTGCTCCAGGTCCATTAACAGATAGGACTATAAACTAACAAAATACCAGAAGAAAAAATAAGGTAATCATAAAGGCACAGATCCATAAAAGACTTCTAGGAAAAAAAAAAATCCTTCTATCAACAAATGTAACCATTTACACTAAGAAAATTCCACAAGAATTAAAGAATTGAAAAAAAAATATCATATTTCAGTTAGAAGACTGGCTTTAAAATGTCTATGATTTAGACATAATAAACACAATACAGGGCTTAGCCCATAAATATCACCTTAGTGCAAGACTATCAACTTTAAGTGTGGCCAACATTTTAGAACAAAAAGAAACAGGCTAAAGTAGTTTTATACATAATCCTGACCTTTTCAAAAGTAAGAAGCACTTTTCAAATACTTTTTCTCCCTCTGATCTTCGAGACTAGCTCTGTTACAAAGATTTTAGACACTTTGATGTCTCTTTAAAATTCTTCTTAAAACTATTACTGAAACTAAATACATCCTTGTAAATTGCCCATAAAAATAGCAAATGTGTTACAAACCTGTTTTAGGATTTTATTTCATCCTGCCATTTAACACATTCCTCTCTTTAGAGAATATCAAAGTAAATAAACCTGGGAGACAGAAACTTAGCTCTCAAACACGAAAAAGCACTGAAGTTGATTCTCCCTGTCATTATTTAAGCAGATCTTGAGAAGCACAGATACCATTTGGTGTTCCATTTTTTCCTCTTTGGGTAGTATTTCAATGATTTGTAATTGTTGTGGCCAAATAACAACTTCAGAGGGGTCTGACATCAGACATTGCCTGAGAGAATTTAACACATTAAATATTAGAACTTTGGTAAAGTGAATGCACCCAAAAATAAAAACACACTGCTTGCATTCTATATAAGCAGTTCCCACGTATAGGTTCCTCAGCTTGCTGTCTTCTAATTGTTATTTTTCAAGAAAACAATCAGACTGCTAGAAAAGCAAAATAACACTCATCTCTTTTTGAAACTACAAAAAAAAAAAAAAAAAAAAAAAAAAAAAAAAAAAGTATTATTTACAGTACAACAACCATGGAAACGGACAAAAGCAGCAGGACGACATGAGAAGCAAATAAAACACCTCACAGATAGGGCTGAGCCAAACCATAGCTACTTTAATGGGGAACTCCCGTCTTTTTTTTAAACGAGCAAAAACGAAATGCCCCTTGGAAGGCACGCTAGGAAGTCTACCGTGAGAGATCATAAAGTATTTGGACGGGAAACAAAAAATAACCTTGAAAATTGAACTAAAAGTGAGCAGAACTGCCCTAACTGCATGGTCTTGGCAAAGGCCCCACTCACGAAACAGGAGCTGACCGAGATAAGGGGCGGGCAGCAATCAGCGGAAGGGTCTTGAACTATATTTTTCTTTTCTTTTCTTTTCTTTTACAGACCGGTAATGTTCGCAGTTCCCGACAGCACGGCATTAGCAGCGCGGCAGCCTTGGCCAGCACGTGGTTGGGGGGGGGCGGGGGGGAAAGGCTCTGCTCACCCTGCCCTGCCGGACCCTCCCATCCGCCGGGCAGGGGCGCGGGGCGGCTCGGGGGAACGCTCGGGCGGCGCTGGTGGCACCACGCCCCGCAGTCTCTCCCCCGCTGCGCCCTGCTCTGCCGCCAGCACCTCGCTGGCCGTTACCTGATCAGAGCCACTACTCGCATGCTGCACACTGCCCGGGGCGGTAACACTGAACAGGAGACGTGCGATGAGTGCGCAGCTCAAGCTCCCCACCACCCCGGGCCACGCACGCCGCCGCTACCGCCCGGCAGCGTCCCCGCGGCAGGCCCTCCTCCCAGGGCAGCCCGGCCGATTGCCTGAGCGAGAGGGAGGTGTTCCGGGCCGCCGCCAGGCCCTGCCCGGGAGGACGACTTCTCACGCGTCCGGGAGAGAGCTCTGGGGACGCGGCTGCCAGGACCGGCCCGGCGGGGAGCTCGGCAGGGGGAGGCGCCGGGGAAGGCAGCGCGTGGGGCGCCTACGTGCGGGCGGGCGGCCTACTGCCGGTAGGCCCGGGCGGGCCGCTTGTTCCGTGCACAGCGGACGCAACTGCTAGGTCCACCGGGCTCTTGTGCTTCGTTATGGTGCGGGAGGGCCGGGTGCGGTGGAAGGAAATTGTGCGGGACTTCAGAGTTCGTCACCCCGAGGCGACTCACGGCGGGGCCGGGTAGAGCTGCGTGCTCCCTCAGTCCCTGTTGGGGAGACCCTTTCCTGTCACCGCGGTGCCGTGAGGATCTGTGCGGGCAGGAGGAGGAGGACTGCCTGTTGCAGGCGCACGTGGGAAATGTCCACCTGCAGCGCTGAGCTCAGCTTCCGCCGGCCATAAACCTAATGTAACCCTCCTTGTGGGTCAGTTTTGCTAATAACCAGACCCTTACGCACACAGTGTACACCACTGTAGGTCTCCATGCTGAATCAATACGGCATTAAAGTCTAGCCTCTGAATACAAACTCAATTTTCTCTCTCCCAGGTCAAAGACAAAGCCTGGTGAAATAGCAACTATCCTAAGTCTTACACCATTTTACACCTAGCATTGCTAGTGGTACCATGGCTAGGTGTTGCATAGTGCTGGGAGAGCCCACCACACCCCACGCTTGTGCACTTAGAATGGGGCTGGAGATCCCTGTATAGCTGTTTGTTGCTTGTCCCTTAGGAGGTTGCTACAGAAAATCATCAGACACATGTAGTATCATGGAGTCAGACCATGGTCTGCTGGGTTCAGTTAATCCCCAGAGAGCCAGCACCATACAGACCATGCGTCACCCCAACCAGGAGCTTTAACACCTGGTTCCATGTGAACTGAGTTGCATAACAGCACAGCTAACATAAAAGGCTTTGTTCTTAAGAGCTCATGACAAGGGTATGCTTTATACATGAGATCTTCTCAGCCCTATGTAAAGTGATATTATGCACTTTATAACAACCTGTACCATTAGGGCCCAGTGCAAGCCTCTGAGAAACAATTTGCCTGCTCATTTGTTGTATTTGAAGTTCCCAGGAAGAAAAAAAGATGAATGAAAACAGATAAGAAAATTCCTTTTAAAAAAAAAAAAAAAAAACACTTTATTTTTAGTGAAATTATAGTGTTAGGTGTACCAAAATAAGTTCTGTAATACCTGGTGAGACAGATACAGTATTTAGGAATTTTTTTTAAACAGCCACAAACCAGTTCGCAATAGCTGTTTCTGGGAAGTTTATTTTATTGTTTTTGTTTTTTCTTCCTGGATGATTTGACTGTACTTGATTTGTATGATTTGTGCAATAAGTTCCTGTAACATGTAAAATGAGAGTAGTTAATTTCAGGCAGATATAAAGGCAATAAAATGATTTACTAAATACATTCCTGAAAAAGATGAAAAAAAAAATCAGTAAGTATTTGTGCAGGTGTCGTAACAACAACATAGATTTTCCCACACAGGAATAATTATGAAAAATTCTGTGTTTTAAAAAATATTTCTTCAACTCATGATTTGAGCATGACAAGCCATCAGTTGTGAGACAAAATATTGGACTTAGTTGGGAATTACAAGGCAGTTTGATTTTCTTGTAGTTTTGTGATGGTGGAAATGCATACTTCTTAGAAAGCCATTTTTGCTTTTTATAACTCATTAAATGATCAGAACCAAGGTTACTTAAACCTGAAATTCTGATGAAAGGACAGCAGCCAAGTTAATGGTTTTTATTTGCTTGTTTTTTGTGCTCAGAAATGTAAAATGGAGGCCTGTTCTGAATTAAAACTGCAAATCCAGGGGACTCCAAGATTATAGGAGAGATTAAAAAATTGAATCAAGCAACATTGTATAATATTCAGGCAGAAGATCACTGCACTTCTGAGGAACTGTAAAAGAAGGTAGAGTAAAGGTATTTGATTTACTGGGAAAAAATGTGGGTGGATATTTTATCATACCTTACCTCCTGTCTTTTCTGTTAAAATATTTTTCTTTTTGTTATTAAAAAAAAAAATTCAGCTAGTATTTGTGAACTTCTAAAAGATGCTTATTCACTATATTTAAAAACAATACATGAAATGTAAAAAATACATACGTTTTTCTACTTTAGAACATGCAGATGCTATAAAATCAATACTTTTAATCACATAAATTTATAACAAATTTGAAGACTTGTAAAGATATTGACTCCTCAGTATCACTGTTAGCAGCTCTGGAAAGATCTTAATTCAGAATAATTCTGAAGTCTCTTTCTCATAAGTCCATTATTATCTAACTGACACAATGCTGTTTCTTTTTCAGCAGATGGTTCCATTGCACTCAATTTTACAGCTTTCAAAAAACAAATTTCCCGACTTGTTTGAACTAGAAGTTACATATGACACTACAGGACTAAAGCCTACTTCATTTGCTCTCAAAACTGGAATTTTTGTGAAGATATCACTAATTATTTGCACAAGTAAAAAGCCTGTTCAGCATGTGAGAAATGTCAATAGCAAATTAATAAAGTGAAACTGTGAAACAAATTACATTTTACCCAGGAGGGCGCTAGTTTCAAACAACTTGAAACATATTCAGTAGGTAAATCTTTTCAGTCTCATCCACCTGATGAAATAGCTCTGGTGCTTTTAAAATGTTTTGCCATATGGCAGTGGACGAAAGACTTTGCATCATCTGTCAGACTGGTTGCCCAAGACATTCTATTATACTGTTGCAATAGCTGAAGCAAGAAATTCACCAAAGCTTCCTTTCTTCTTGGAGAAGTATTGGCTAGTTTGTACAGAAAAAAACGGTGATGGCTCCATGATTCTCTCTCACCATTTTCTGCCTAGAAAGTTGAAAATAATAATAATGAATTAATATTATTGGAGGAACCTGACAGAGGATTAAAAATTGCAATGCAGTATCCCTAACGACTTGGAATAGTTAATTAAGTTATCTTATAAATGAGTTCCAAAAATAACTTACTTTCAGCAAGTTATTCTGAGAAACAGCCACTTTAGCATACCTGAGCTGCAGTGCCTATTAGAAAAGGGCCAATTATCCAGTGACTGGCAGTTAAAGGTGAACTGCTGTAGTTCTTAATTAAAAGGCTCCGTATTACAATCACCAGTAACAGAATTCTATATATAAAGAAGACATAGCATTAGAAGAATATTTCCATTTTAAAATAAGGATTTTGAAAAACTGCTTCCTCTACTTGCCAAGCTAAGCCCCTGTAAGAGCCCTGGAGTAGCCATCTGTGCTATTTATTTTATATTTATTAGAGGTGCTCCCCTATGACCCACCTGCAGCCAGAAGGGTTTCTCTCCTGTACCAGGTGGCAGCATTATTACTGCTGCTAATGCCTAAAGTTGTTACTACATAAATATTAATATAAATATTATATAAATATATTATATAAATATTATTTTAGATTTTAAGAGAATACATCTCTCTAAGAGAGGCTAAGGAGTTCTCTGTGGAGATTCTTCAGCTTCTTGCCTGTTACAATTGGAAAGACTAGCACAGTGGCAGGGTAACACAAAAATGTAACAACAAAGTGACCAGTGCAGATAGGATAGTATTTCACAGGAGCATAAGCATGTGCTCACCCATCTCCAAATATCTAGACTTGCAGAAAGGACCCCATCAGCAAGGAATCTCCAACCAGAGATCCTTCCAGAGTGGCAGTCAGCCATTAAATGGGGGTCTAAGAGGTGGAGCCAGGTTCCACCCCTTCCGGTTACACAGGTGAATTGCCTTCACATGTGCTCCCAGGGTTGACCAAGTCCTTTCCTCAGGTGCTCAATTAGTGGTTCAGGCTGTGATTCAGCAGTTCCAATACACTGCCAATGACAACTTTCCTGAATTTCCACTTACTTTCCCGTTAACAGGATATTATCAACTCTTCTGTGAGATGCAATGAAGTTATTTTTGGGGTAAAAAGCTTCTAGAGTGGAAGAATGTGCTGTACTAACGTACTATTAAATGTGTATCTCCTCATCTAAGGACTCAGGATCACTCTGTCTTCATTTCAAGTTCAGCAAATATAAATTACTTTGCTGAATTGCTACATTCTGTATAATCATGCTACTAAGGTATTATGCCTGAGATTATGCACCCTACTGAGATTAGTTTGAACACTATATCATACTGTTCACTTCTTTTTAGGCAGTGACTTCAGACATCTATCTCCAGCCATTCACTCAGATCTGGTCTTCACTATCTACACTGCACATGAACACTGACTTTTATCAGATCTACTGACTTCTTGCTGTTAAGTGCTTTATCTATATCAACGCTACTAAAAATATATACAGCTAATCCTATAGTTCCTAATTTTGATAAAGATTGTCCTTTTACAGGATAATTTGACCTATTTTTCTTAACTATGTAATTCAGCAACTTTCCTTCATCCTTTAGCTTTCAAGCAGAGTGGCAGACCTGTATTTATTAACCACTGTAACAGAGAGGGAATTTAGCTTAAGACAGTATTATTCACATTCTTTACTAATAAGTAAAGGTACATATATGATGACACTTTTTTCAAGCTTTTGATAAACTCCTACCTTTTTATTAATCAATCTACCAATCTATAGTGAGTCAAAACAAAAATTAACCTTTTGATGTATTGCTTCATGAAAATGACCATTCTGTTTCAGTTTCCAGAAGAAACCAGACAAGTTAAAATTTGCATTCATTGGAAGCTGAGTAGTTTTTCCCCTTGAGTAGATCTGTTTTCAGTGTTCAAAATTTTTATTTTATTAGTTAAACTACTAATAGTAATTACTACCAAGGGAAACTGTCAATTGAGACTGGCAAAATCCTCCATTTGCCTTTATTTTTCCTGTTCTTTTTAACCCGTGGGATTTTACTGTTTTTTCTCCTTGAAATGAACTGCTTTAGTACTTTCAATAGGGAAAAAATATCTGATTACCTCTGCCTTTACGAAAAGCCAGTAGAAGTTTGTATTCTGATTTATTTTAATTTCTATTGTGGTGGAAAAGTATTTACAGGTTAAATAATCCTCATTTTCCCACTTGTGGAGAAAAGAAAAAGGATTTTTTAGAAATAAGCATTTCAATTTTAAAATTTGCATAACACTTTAAAATACAAAACAAGTGTGAGAGCTCTTCCAATGTTACATTGTTACAAATGTAGATCAGAGTTGAATTTATATGGTGAAGAATTACATGTTCAATTTTCAAAACAAAGTTTCTGTTATATAAGATGATGTATTTCCAGTGAAGTTTCATTAATTGCCAATGAAGACTCTGAAAATAGAAATTTTGCAGCATTTCTATGTACTAAAATCTATTATCTCTCATTAACTGTTCTAGAGGATGAGAAGGTTGTTTAGATTCAGCAATCCTTGTAACAAGTCTGTCATCCAACAACTTTGACTCTGTAACCACAGGCATTAACTTATTGAGAATTAGCCATATATTTGATAGCTACAAAATACCTTGGAAAAATGTGGTCAGAGTAATAACCCTTGAGAACAGGGAGTAATTAGCTGTCAAGTTAGTGAAATTAAGCTCCAGTATCTTCTCTATCATCACGTGTAGGCAGAAATGACTGGCCTATTTTTAAAAAAGACGCAAAAGTTTAAAGAAACAGCTTTAAAGAAAGGAATCAGGAAATTGAACTTGTGTAATGAAATCTAAAACTGAACAGCAGCATCTTATTGTGCTGATAGATAATTTGGGATGATTACTCATTTATTAAATGGTGCTGCAGTTCATCACTGATTAAGAACATTTGAATAGGCTAAAACTGCTGGAGTTTCAGGAGAATAAGCAAACAGCAGCTTTTTTTGGCTCATTTGTTTTACTACAAAAATTTTCCCATGTCATAAAATATTTATAACATAGCTTTAAGTAATAAAAATAACTATTTTCTTTGTACTCCACTGTTCCTATTGTGTTCAATTGTGCCAGAACAAATAATGTTAACTTAAAAAATCAAAACAGTTTTTAACTGTGATGCATTCAAACTGTTTTTGTCTTACAGTAAGCGTTTTCTTGGGACAATTGGTCTAGCAAGTATGGAGCACTAGTATATCCTAATTAGGAAAACAGCAAGCTTAACTTTGAAAGTTAAAACATTTTATCACTGCAAGAAAAGCAACAAATCAGTTGTAACTTCCAGCATCCAACAGAACTTTATTACATTGTAGCATAAATGACTGACATAATATGCCTCTGATTTTGAGACCTCAAGGAAGGGTGGATTTGACAGTGTCCTTTGAAATAACATTGAAGTGTCAGCTCCCATGCCAACAACATGCTCTAATCAGTACAGTCTTTTTTGTTGCAGGGTCTTCCACCTTGTAATTGACCCTGACATATGCTGTTCACTCTACCCCTTGGCTTTGGACATATAATTCCTGTCATGGTCAATTATAAGGTGATAGAGCCTGCAACCACTGGGACCATTGCTTAAAATCATCCTACACAGTAAGCCCTGAAGTGACCAAATTCAAATCTAACTGGAGGGAAAGGGGGGATTCAGTCTTTGATAAAACCAATATTCTTTTTATTTCTGCATAGAAAAATGTCAATTTCCATCATGCTGTATATTACTGAGACTAATGGTGACAGTGCTATTTCTGAAACAGGTTAAGGAAAAGTACAAAAGCCTTTACCAAACAACATACTCTGAAATGAGGAAATTGTCTGTGTGAGCATACAGTATGCATAAAAATTAGATTACACTACATTTGAAAAGCAGATGAGAATTTAAGAGTGACAAGTGGGCAAATGCTAAGTATAAGGGCATGTTACTTCCTTTCCAACACTTCTTTGTGTGTATGCTTTTATGTTGTTTAAGCTTTGAACTGAAATACTTCCTGATTACCTTATTGATAAGAACTGAATGTGAACAAAAAAGAACTCTCCTCATTGTCTGATTGGTTCTGTAATGCCTAAGAAATTTGGCAAAAACAAAAATCAGGACACTTGGTCTCTGATCTTTGAGTAAGCAGTGACTTTCACAAACATACAGTTTTACAGTGCATTGTACTCGTACAGAATTTTTACAACTTCAGGAGTAAGAGCTGAGATGAGCAGAAGTTTTAATACCCATCTGCCAAGGTTTGCTGGAAAACGTAGATTGTCAACTGTGGGGTCATTTCACACATTTTCTGGCTTTAGCCACCTATGTAGTTAAGCCAGAGGGACAGCTATCCCTGATTTTTCTTGTGTGGACATTAATTTCTATTTGCAAGCTGCCGTTGCCTGTTTTCTGTTTCTTTGTTGTTTTGTTTGTTTGTTTGATGAAAAATGAAGGGAATTTCAATTATTTATAGTGTTTTCAGTCACAAATTATAACCTACAGGAATCTTTCCTGATTTGTTTCACTACTGACAATTTATTTAACACCTGTACCTAAACCACTCAATTCAAAAATAATCCTTAACAGACCTTTGTGAATGTGCTGATTTTTACAGGTAATACAGTATATAATATTTTGAAAAATATGTTTTGATGATGTCTTTATTTCCTATCTTAGCCTGACTAGACAAAGCTCTAATTAACATTCATATAATTATCTAAGTCTTTTAAAATCCCATCTGTACAGTTTCTCTTAATGATGTATACAGAGCATAGCAGTCCCAATAAATACCAAGCACATACAGTGCAAGTGCTTTTAATTTAAACCATACTGCTGATTAGTGATGGGGTATTCTGAAACTGTTATGCACATTCTGCATTTCAATTGTCATGGGAACAGAACAGCTCTTCATGCTGAAGTGCACAGTCCTACATATAGCTGGGAGCTGCTATTCTAGCATCTGCTGTGGCTGTGTCTACTATCCAGACAAGTCAACTTTGGAAACTACCGATTTAGCTAATTTTGAAAACAGGTGGGTGACTTTACTGGAGTGTGTAACTCAGCTCAAATGTTTGCAGGACAAAAATTTACAGTTCTGAATCTATTACTGTATGTAAATACCAAATTTCCTCAACTTCATTATAAGAAAAGGCATTACTCCTAACATATATGTGTTTACCCTGCATATATCACATGACATCCTAAACATTATTTCAAATAAGAGATAATTCAGGTTTCAACAGGCTGCAGTCTATGAAGTGTGGAGAATGACTGCTGGCTGTTTTATGGTTTAGAGCATGACTGAATACACTAACAGGGCTCCGTGAAGTACTCATTTCAATATATATAACATATTTTTAAAAATACTTAAACTTTATATAGGTCTCATCCTTTATATACCTAAGAGAAGTACTCTTACTGTACTTAAGAAGCAGAGGCAGTAATACCTCAAAATACTGGGACACCACCAGTGATATGAATGTTAAAATTTGATTCTCTGGTAAACAATTTGTGTGATTATTTATGCTATTTCAGCTTGTTTTTTTTTATTTCAGATTCTCTATCTGTAAAGTAGGCATAGTTATAGTTTGCAGAGTATTTTGAGATTTGTAGTTACAAAATATCAGTGTAATAATTATAGACAAAACAATCTTTTCTGAAATCTTTTTACTCAGTTCTAAATATCAATCCGTAACATTTATGCTGTGGCAAATGGTAAATACTTTATGTCTGATGGATAACTTTTGTAAGATTAGCTTGTTTTTAATGTTTGTTTGTTTAATGTTTTTAATGTTTGTTTGCACATTCTTCTGGGTAAGTATACAGGGGCAT